TATGTTCATTACATTTTTTTTACTTGATCCTCCAGAAGAAAATATGCTGTTTATTTTGTAGCTTGAATCATTGCTTAGTTTTACTTCAGTGTCATCTTCTGTCAAGCTTTGTCAGTTTGTCCTTACTAAGTCAGCCGATTCTTAGCTGTGCTTGGGGCCCAGTCTGCCAAAGCATCTGAGTTTGATTCCCTGAACCTAAAGTGAAAGAGAAGATGCCCCTACAGATTGCTGGAGACAGACTGAGTTACCAGGAAGTGATTTTTCTTGTCCATCTATTTCCAATCTTTTCCTCTATGTGAGGCTTGCTCAGTCACCAGGCTAGCCCTGAGCCCTGGCACGTGAGAGATCCTCCGGTCTCACCTTCTTCTGTCTGTTACTTTGCCTGATTGAACCTGATTTAAGATACAGCATTTTCATCCTCTAAGAGTTATAAAAGGACGATTATACCTGGGTACTAACATCTGAAATTCTAATTCAGTTGAGCTGCAGCCTTCACCAAGGAAACAAGTGCAAAGGATTTAAGAAGTTATGGCAGCCATGATGTGATGCCTGCTACCCCAGTTGCCACGGAGGGTGTGACTGGAACCCACAGTACAGCCTTCCCCCCACCCCAGAGAGAGAGAGAAAGAGAGAGGGGAGGAAATAGGAGAGAGAAACAAAACAAAAACAAACCCTTGTCCAAAATTGTCCATTGACTTCAGTTCTGAGCTCACAGTTTTGCTTAATGGTTATTTGAAACAGATCTATAATACTATAATTATAGTACCTTATTTTGCCATTGCCTTAAAAAGAAATTTAGCTTTTTAAAAACAGTATTTACGTGTTCATGAAGAGTTCACAGCACAACTTGAGGGATCTGTTTTCATGTCTCAAGGACTGAATTCAGGTCCTTGGGCTTGGAGGCAAATTTTCTTGTTGAACCATCTCACAGCCTCAAGCCTCAAGCTTCAAGCGTCAAGACCCTTTGTTGTTGTTGTTTGAGACAGGGTCTTGCTGTAGAGCCAAGCTGGTCTGAAACTCAAGATTCTTCAGTCTCACCCTTTTGGACACCGGGTATCACAGGCATGTCCACCACATCCCACTTCACTGTTTCTCTAGGAGTGTGTCTCTAACTTTTTAGATAAAATAGGTAAAATTTAAACTATTTTCTTGAGCAAAGCCCTAATACCGACATTCTCTTTGAAGCTGCTTAAGTGCTTCTCCACCCTCTGTCTCCGTCTCCTGACTCCTGTCTGTGATGTGGACAGAGTGGGCCAGTCTCAGCTTTCCCTTGAATCGTTTAACCTAGGAAGACTAAGGATGCCTTCCAGCTTCTGAAACCTTACATTTTACACTATACTTGCACGATAGCTAGCTGACAAGAACACTTTAAAAATAGCAGACTCACGGACAGGTGACAGATGTCACACTGGCAGCACCAGACTGCAGTGACAAAATCACCAGATGTCACACGGTTCGTCCTGTTTTCACAGCTGATTCAACAGCAGCATTTGTTGGACAAAAGGAAGCAAAAAGAAATGGCCTCCTCCGAATTTAGCATCAGGGTTTCTTTTGCCACTGCTTGCTTTCTCTCTCTTCCAAAATCCTGTAATCAGTATTAAAGCTTAGGTGCATATTGCACTAAGAGAAAAATTATATAATGATCACAATCTTAGGAAAGAAAGCTTCGTGCATGTTCTCTACAGTGACAAGTATAAATAAAACTGACAGTGCTTGTCTTTAGTGGCCTTATTTTTTCATATATTCTAATTATATTCAGTGAAAATAGATTGCATTTATTCTCTAAACACTACTTTTTGAAGAGATAAACTAAAAAGTCATATTTAATTTTACCAAAAACATTATATTTAGTAGGAAACCTAGATTAATCAGGTTATAGATTCTAGGGATCCAGTATTGACACAGAGCATCTTACAAAATTTGTTTTTATCTGAAGATCCATTGGAAAAAATTAGAGAGAAGACCAGGAAAGGTAAAAACCACTGGTTTTTTGTTTTGTTTTGTTTTTAAGTAGCACTGCCTTCCACCTGTAAGACCGCATCGAATCCTCTTGCTCTGCTTCTTGAGGAAGACAGAATTGCAGCTACATCAGTGAGGATAGAGGCAGCCCCATTCCTCTCAAGGTCATCCTGTCAAGGTGAAATGTTCTAGCTCTTCAAGAAAGAGCTCAAAATGCCGTGAGATGTGCTCATGTTCTGAGGCTAAGAGGGCAGATTCCAGAAACACGGAAACCTTATTTTGTGCAATGTCAGTAAAGTATGTAATTCTCTATTATACAGGAAGTGAAGTCGAATGAATAGCAGCTAAATTTAGGGTTACTCAATGTCCTTGACAACCTTTCCTTATTGTAATAGTATTAAGGACCATCAATCCCTTTTAAGGACTCACACTGTCCTCTTGATATTTATTGGTCAATGATGGAATAGGTCCTGTTTTTTTTACATTTTGTTTAAACAAGCTCTCATTATGTATCCCTGATTGGCCTAGAATTCACAGAGATCATGTGCAACACTGTCTCTTCCTTTTTGATGTTATTGTTTATTTTTTTGAGACGGTTTCACTGTGCAGCTCAGGCTGACCTTGAACTTGTGATTCTTTTGCCTCTACCTCCTACATGTAGGCTATAGGTGTGAACTGCCATCTAACTAAAGAGATTCTATTTGCCTTAAGTTCTAATGGACAGTGATTTTGAAGTCTCAATGGGATTTTATCAGCAACTGGCTATTATGGATGATACTCTAGAATATGATGAAGCTAAACTAGAGAGAGGATATCACTTTTAGTGTTCATGGATGTTAGTTTTGGGTGTAAAGAACATTGATTTAATTAACTGAAACCAGTATGTAAATTCTCTTACCGAGTCCAGTCTTGTTCTCATGACTGGACTTGTGAAGTAGTTTTCAATTAAGGTGGTGATAGGAGACAGCATTGCAGATGGCATAGACTGTCACTCTCAGAGACTCTGAAATGACCTAGGAATTGGAAAAGCATAATAAGGTATGAGGGACAACTACAAGTATAGTTATGCCAAATATATCTTCCAACAATGGGATACTTTTAAACTCCTAGTGATTAGCTTGTAGGTAATATGAAAACAGTTTGTTTTCTACAGAAATCTTATATTCAAGAATGTTTCCTTTATTATTCTTTGACAATTTAATTGATTTTCCCCCATTCTTAAACACACACACACACACGCGCGCACACACCAATACAAGTGGCAAAGTTGAATTGTGTTTTTTCATTAAGTTATTTTGTTTTTCTGTGGTGTTGAGCTTGGCAATGATGTTTGCCTCCAGTTCCCAATAGCAGAATTTAATACCAAATGAAAACTGATACTTTTGCAATTGCATATAGAGTTGTATCTGTTATCTCCAGCTTCCTCTATACTATTTTCCCCAAATATGATTGACATTTATTTAAGCAGTGGCTATAAAATAGAACAAACATTTTTAGGACTGTAGGGATATTTAAGTGGTAAAACACTTGTCTTAAAATTAACATGTTTCTGTGGATTTCATGATAACTCTCAAAGTAACTATACATGAGAACTTCAGAGAGTCAGGCTCGTAGATATTATTTACACCCTAGTTTTTGTTTCAATATCTTTTTGTGTGTTTGTTTTTTGAAACAGGGTATTATTCTGTAACTATACACTGATCCTAAATTCCCAACATTCCTCTTGTCTGGGATTACAGGGGTGAGCCACCACACCTGGTTTTGATAACTATTTTGTTGAAGGAATTGGTCAAGAAATCTTGCATAGTACATTTTCTCTCTATACAAGACTCTTTGGGTTTAATTTTAGTTTTTTGATGCATCCTTCTTCTTTGTCTCTAATAATGAAAAAAAGCAGCAAATGCCCGTATCTTTCATTCTGTACCCCTGCATCTTTCCATCTGTGCTTGTGAGTTTCACTCTGTCCATCTCCTGCCCCTTCCCTACACACACACATCTTTCAGTCTTTCACTCTTTATTCCAATGGGCCATTAATTGAAACGTTAGATTCTGTTTATTATCTTATAGCTCAAGGGTTGAAACTTTGTGAATGAGTATAGAACAAATGTGTGAGGGTTTACAGGACTCAGGCTTCTGTTGCCTCTTTGCTTTTCTTTGGTTTTCCAGCCCATTAAAAATGTAAAAATGGTTCTTAACCTCAGAGGTATACACAAATAGGAAGCCAACCAATGTGGGCAGAAGTTTCAATTCTCATTATTCATGAAGATGAGACTCTGGAAAGTCACATTTGTCACAAGGTCATAGGAGTAGTTAGTGGTGGGGCCAGGCATGGATGATAGTGCATGTTTTTAATCCTAGTTCTTGAGGGAGGCAAACACAGCAGATTTTCATGATCTACAGGCCAGTCTGGTGTGCGTGGTGAACTCTAGATCAACTAGGGCCACATAATCATAAAAGAAACCAACACACCATACAAACCAAACCCCTGAAAGAGGAGTGGTAGGGCAACTTGAACTCTTAAATTTTTACATCATCAGTCTTTCCCTTACCATAAAATTTACCATCTTCTTCCTTTTGCTACTTTGGTAATTATGTTGCATTTTTTGAGGCATTATGAAATTGTATCTTATTATTATCTCTAAACTTCATGTTTACTTACTTCTCTAAATTTCTTTTTTTAATGCCTTAATTTGAAGGGCATAAATAAATGATTGTTTAAATAAAATACTTATCTAGGAAATGGACTTGTTTAAATTTTAATATGGGAGATGTACAAATTTCAGACTATAATGGAAGCTTCTTTTTGTTTGGTTGTGTTTTGTGTTGAGACTTTGGCTTTGTTTTAAGACTTTTCATGTCTGTGTTTTATGAGTTGATTTAAAAGTTGTTGTAAATGCTTTGGCCTTGATAGCACTGCTATAGATGAATCTGTAGTGTTTTGTATTGTGTGTATTTTGTAAGTGTATTTGAAATAATTATATTGAAGAATTTTGTGTGTGTGTGTGTGATTATGCTTAATATAAAATTGCTTTCTTTTCCAGGGCGCATGGGAATAAATTTCCATCATCCAGGAACAGATAACATTATGGCACTTAACAGTAAGTTTGTCTTCCTGTAAAACTCTCTATAGAAAGTATCAGTCAGGTTTGCAACACTGTTCGATTTTTCACTAGAGGCAGTATAGATTACTGTTCTATACAAGCACTTCTCAGAGTGGGATTTCTGTACCAGTAGCATCAGCATTACTTGGGAACTTACTAAAAACCACACAAGATCTCAGGGTCTCCTACAGACATACCTATAGAATGAGAAACTTTAAGGATGCTTCCAGAAATTTGTGTGTTAGCAGTCATATAGGTGATTCTGAGTAAGAAAAAGCTAGAAAATTCATTGCTCCAAACCAACATTTGCAAGTTGTGTATGCAAGCCTGTGAACTGGCTTACTACCTGTGTTTGTAAATAAAGTTTTAAGTTAGTAATAGGAAATGTTTCCCAGCTTCTGCTCTCTACATTAGGGTGAAGTAATGAAAGAAGGAGGTATAGGGAAAGAGAGAGTAGCATAGAAAATGAATGAATACTTAATTTTTATACATAACTCATTCCTGTAAAGAGCCCATAGATGTTTCAAGATGGCTCTTCAGGGCTCTTCCATTGATAGAATTTGTATACTGTAGATGTTAGCAGCTTTGATGGCCACATATGGCTTTGTCAATATAATTATGAGGTTACATTCTAGACTCTCTCTCTCTCTCTCTCTCTCTCTCTCTCTCTCTCTCTCTCTCTCTCTCTCTCTCTCTCTCACACACACACACACACACACACACACACACACACACACACACACACTAACCAGAATGCTGCTGAGTTGCTCAGTGGGTTTGGAGAGTCAGGGGTAGTGACGCACACCTGTAATCCCAGCACTTAGGAGGCAGAGGTTGAGGAGGATCTGGAGTTCTAGGTCCGGCTCACTATGTAGAGGGCTTGAGGTAGCTTAGGCTATTGAGATTGTACTATAAAAGCACTATGCCTGAATATTTCATATCACTCATTACACACAACTCCATAAATATTTATGTAAACATGTATACTTGTAGGTTAAACATGTATACTTGTAGGTTAGAAAAGGGTTAAAAAGGCTACCGCAGAGTTCAGAAGTCACAACACAGTAAATATTTATGTAAACATGTATATCTTTAAGCTTAGAAAGGGGTTAAAGGGCTCCAGCAGAGTTCAGGAGTTATAACAGGTAGAGAGCAGATAACGATAGAAGCAGTCCTTGCTGGAGTTAGTCAATAGAAAGTACCCAGTTGGACTGCTAGAGGTACACAGAGCCAAGCCACAAGGTCTCCAGGTTGAGCATGGCTGCAGAGGTGAGGTGTGAGACCATCAAGGCTTAATATAGGAGCCAATGGACAACTGATGGAGGTGGGAGGGGCTGCAGTTTTAGTCTGCTGCATCACCTTCAGGGTGATAGCTGAAATGAAGCCCCAGGGACAGCCAGGAGTTCTCAGGCTATGGGTCCCTTGGTGCACAACTGGATGGTCAGATGACAGGCCAGTGGGGCTGTTGTCACACTGTTAGGTGTCTTCCTCTTTATGCATCTAGGTGAAGGAGTGCCACTGCTTGTGGTATGTCCCATAAATCCCTGGACCTGGTTTCTCTGATCCATTTTGCTATGTCAGTGTGCTCATACATTCCCAATCTTCTTTATCCGTGTATGGGTGGCCCCTGTTTTTGCTTTGGGAAGAGTAAGTGGCTTGTTGGTCTTCCTCCTGGGTGGTGCTGGACAGACGTGGTGTCTATGTGTACAGAGAGATGCAGAATCATCCTCTTCTGTGTTTGTTGTCAAAATGGAGCCCACTACTGCTTGTAAAATGAAAATCACCCAGAGAACAGCATGATCTCAAAAAAACAAAAAAACAAAAGCCCTGAGGTATCTGCCCGGGTCAGCTTGCCTTGCTGGCATGTATAGGACAAACAACTTTGTAAGAGAACATACACAGAAATCATGTGTTGTCAGGAGGCCTGCACAAGCTGTTGCCTCTCAGAATTGCAGTTTTCTCTTCTGTCAAGTGAGTGATACCAGTTTGTGACCTCTTATTCCCTCAGGTGTGCAGGCCAATTCCTGGTTCACTTCAGGGATACACCGAGTAAAAGTAGGGCTGTGTATATTAACCCCCCTTTCTCTTGAGTAAGAGCTTTGAAATACCATTAGAATTTCTAAAGATAGGCTTTAGATTCTCTAAAATATGTAGACATTTGATCTAAAATATTATACATTTCCTCAGATCTGACATGCTGCACTTACCCTGAGCATGTGGGAATTGCTGGCGCTGCTTAGTGACACAAGCCCTGATCCGTGTTTGCATGTTTTCTGTTTGGAGGGCTTGAGGACAATGCAAATTCCAAAGCATGCTCCTCTCATGTCTCATTTCTGAAAGAAAGGACACTTTACATGGAGATTATGCTACGCTACGTGTGTGTGTGTGTTTGTGTGTGTGTGTGTGTGCGCGCGCGCGCGCGTGAGAGGGGGGGGGAAGAGGAGAGAGAATTGATAAAGTGCTTAACTGAGGCTCATTAGTAACTGTGAGGAGACTTGATTAGATGATGGGAGGTAGAGTTGACCATGAAAAAGTAGTGTGGTGGTAGTGTCTGCCTGAAGCAGTTGCTTGGAAATGACCTAATTTTACATGGTGTGAATTGTCCTCTGTAAGAGGGAGAGGATGCAGTTTTTTTCATGTCTGGGTAGAAAATGAAACTAAAGACATTTTGATTGTCTTTGGTTTATAAAATAAGAAATCTCATGAGGTTTTTTTTTTTTGAGACAGGGTTTCTATCACTTTGGAGGTTGTCCTCGAACTCGCTCTGCCTCTGCCTCCCGAGTGCTGGGATTAAAGGCGGGCACCACCACTGCCTGGCGAGATTTTTACACTGTACATGTGGCTTGTTTAAATCTCCCTTTTAGATCAATCGTATCTCTTAGAGAAAGGGGGCTGATTAGGTAACATTTTTAAAAGCTTTTTCAGTGTGTGAATGACTTGTGTGGGGGTCGGGGAGCATGAGCGTCATGGCATAGGTATGGAGGTCAGAGGCCGTTTTACCAATCTCTGCGTCACGTGTTGATGAGCTGTGTAGATAATTGGAAAGTGACAGCAGACAGGACTGTGTCAGTCTTCAGTGCTTCTCTGGGTGCTCCCAGGGTCGCCGAACCACGCAAAAACAGCAAGTTTTGCACTTGCGCTGCTTACAGACCTTCACAGTCACCTTGGCAGGTTCATAATCCACTGTGGGTTGTTACATGTGGGATTTGCACACTTTAACACATTGAGCCCAGCTCATCTACTGACATGTATGTAACATGTGTGAACATGTCTGTGTGTATGGTATTTATGTCGAAACCACATTGGCTTGAAAGTTGGGAATCTCCCACCTCCACCTCCCAAATGCTGGGATTTTATGTGCCACCATTCATAGCTCCATATTCTCTGCCCTTCCTGCCCCACCCTTCAAATGAACCGAACTTGGTTTCTTTGGGACAGTCTGACTGGCTGAGGTCACCCTCAGACGCACTAGCCCCACTTGTAACTCTCAGTTTTCTGCCCCAGCCCACTAGGGCTGGCATTGCGGATGTGTGTCCCACGCTAGCAACACATTGGTGTTTTTTGTCATCTTGTTTTCCGCTATCATTTGTTATCCCATATTTCTTGTCCTAAGGTCAGTTCTTCCTCTCCCTCAACTTTTATATAGGATCGATTGAAGTAAAATTAAAGATCACTAAAGTTTATGGTGGCACATACCTTTAATCCCACAGTGAGTGATCTACACAGTGAGTTCAAGGCCAACCAGGATTACACACAGAAACCCTGTCTCAAAAACAAAACAGAAATCACTAAAATTTTACTAGTTCACAAATTTTGGTCATTGAAAGGAACTAAATATAAGTTTAACTATATTTTTGAAAAAGAAAGGGAGTGCCTAAGAAAACAAAGAAGTGATTTTGTGGGCGGTAGACACTTGTAGTCCCTGCCCTTGGGAGGCTGAAGCAGAAGGAAAACAAGTTGAAGATCAGCCTGAGCCCCAGTGGGGTGGAGGAACTGTATGACTGAGTGCTTCCTTTCTTACTCTGCACAAGGCCACCATCCACAGTGTCCTTCTATTCCTTGGCTCACCTAACCCTAGATTTCCTCTGGACATAGACCTACGCTCTCTTGACTGGATGAGAAGGGAGATGCCAGGGTGAGCATCTGCACCTGTCAGATGATGTGGCCAATTTCCTGTTGTTTGCTGCCCTAGTGCATGTCTTCCAGTTACTCTTTTGCTTGTTTTGTTTTGTGAGTCCCAGGTTCTCAGTGTAGCCTGGTTGACCTGGAGATCACTTTGTAGACCTGGGTGACCTTGAACTCAGATCTGCCTGCCTTTGTCTCCTAAATGCTGGGATTAAAGGTGTGAGCCACCATCTCCTTGCTCCCAGTTACGTTTAACCCTGAGAATCACCACTGCTGGTGTCATCTAGAAAACTGGAAATAAACTTAGGAGAGAAGGAAAAGACACCAGCTATGGAAGGAAGGAGGAATTGGCAGTAAGCCTGTAAGCACTTAGGGTATAGGAAGATTGGCAATATTTGTATGAAGCCAAAATCTACTAGTGTGTATGTTTGTGTGTGTACATACATGTGCATATTTATGTGTGTGTGTTTGTGCATGTATGTGTATGAACATGCATGTGGAGGCCAGAAAACAACCTTGGCTATCATTCATCATGTACTGTCCACCATTTTTTGGAGCTTGCTGAAGAAAGGAAGTTGTTGCAGGGCCAGTTAGCCCCAGGGATCTGTTTGTGTCTTCCTCCTGAGCTCTGGGGGTATGTGTGTGATATGCTCAACTCACCTTCTATCTACCCTACGGTTGTTCTCATACTTGCAAGGCAAGCTCTTTGCTGGCTGGGCTCATCTCCCTAGCTCCTATAACTTTAAGACTGTAACTCTAGGGACTAGAGAGCGGCTCAGCAGATAGGAGTGCTTCTCCTTAGAAGACCCTTTTCATTTCCTGCACCCATATTGATCAACTCATAGCTACTTGAACTCCAGCCCCAGGAGATC